GTATAAATGTGATTGGGTTATAAACTAGTTATGAAACCCTTTTATGTGAACCTAATGTATGAATTACTCTATGAGAACGAAGGCTAGAACCAAGTGAGTATGGTAAGGGAAAGTAGTTCTAGTTAAGCATGAGACTAGAATACAAAGAAGCTCTTCATATTCCTTAACCGTGTGTCTACATGGGATGTGTCCAAGTTTTACCATTAGCAAGTAGAACAACCTCATAGGAGTAGGATAGAACTCCGGATTCCTTGTCTTTCTATCATGGTCTATGTTGGTTATTGCCTATTATCATAATATGGAATACCTTGTAGCATTTGAGGAGTTTATGGAGTTTAGATGGTGGTATGGGACGCTATCGAGACATTGCACAATAGACTTTGAAGGTGTTATGTAGAGTTCCTAGGTCTTGTTCAAGACCATTATTTGAATGTCCTTTATGTGATGTATGAATCATAATGAACTAAGGAACTAATGACTTATGTTAAGGATTATGCAAATAAATGAGTACCTAATCTAAAGTAACTTAAGGATTTCTTAGCTAAAGTGTGAAGAGAGCAAAAGGGATGATCTCTTCATGTCTTATCATTGGAAGTCTTGAGTATGACTCTAGTTAGGGAAGTTAGTTGATTTTGTGGACATTATATAAGCCTTAGGTAGTCTTAAGGAATATTTAGGAAATCTTGAAGAAGGAACTATGGACGTTATGTTCTTGATTTTTTTAAGTAGGTCTTTTGATAGCCTTTGGGAAGATAATGTCATATAATCTACGTGTTGGTGATTTCAGTGAGTATGATTCTATCATAGAGAGTCTATAGGATCTCGTAAGTGTGTGTGTAAGAGATTGTATGGGCGGTCGCTTCACAACTCACTCAAGTGAGACTTAGAGTTCACCTTTGGTAGAAGAATCTTACCTTGAAGTTTTTGATTGCTTTGTAAGTATTTATGTGAATCATTAAAAGTAATCTTAAGGGTCGTTTAGGCACATCTAGAGAGTGCGTATGGGCTGTCTCTCTTTTTGTGTGACTTAAGTATATCTTAGGATGACTTTAAGTGAGGAAATTACATGCTAGAAGTATCTTATGTGTTTCTAAATCGATTTATGATGTTATTATGAATTTAATATGACTTTAAATGAAAAGATGCATATTTCCAATAAAGTTTGTTTTCATGATTTTTATATATAATCCATACTTAGTACATGTGGTTGTACTAATTTCATGCTTTTATTTATCTATATAGTTCTTGGTAGGTGAGGAGCTTTGAGAAATGAGAACTTGGACTTAGAAGACCGTTCAAGAGAAATTTAAGTATGTCCTCGCTCGAGGGCATATATAGCTTTTTTGTTTTCATTCAAAGTATTTTAATCGAATATGTATTTCTATATTCATATTTTGAAGTATGGACCGTGTCCCAAGTATTCTTGTGTCTTAAGATGATGAGATTGAGAATTAGTATTTCCTATTACTTTTATATGAAAAAGATTTTGAAGACTATATTAAGTTATTTGAAAAATTTTCATTCCACACTTTTCACTATGTATATGCAAAGAATGATATCAAAGGGATTGTCTAAGAAATCGAGAGTTCGACGACGCCGTGCCTCAATCCAAGATCGTGCCGTAACTTCTAGGGTGTGGTTTCAGGTTGTGACAGCTTAAGATAAGTGTTAGTGTAAATTAAGGTATTGCATGGGGATATTTGCATAATATTCTTATTGTATTTACATATACACTAGAAGTGTGGGAATAAGGTATATAAATATAGGTATATATATACTTTTTTGGCAGCCAAATGTTTATTTGGGCAACCCTTTTTAGTGACATCTGACCATGTGATGAGGATCATTTGTGTAGCTATGTATTTCACACCTCCTCTTCTGATTTTCGTTTTACTTGAAGAATAGGAACCTTAGGACATTATCTGACAAGTTGTTCTTCAAACTCGAGAGGAAAACTAGGTCTTTTTGGCTGGAATTCGAGACACACACTTCTTTTTGGTATGTGGTGAAAACAACTTGTTTCTTAGCTGGGTAGTGTTTTGTATTTTAAGCATATCTTGTCTTATAGAACTTCATTTACAGTGAATAAATATGATTTGGAAAGATACTTTGTAATTATTCAACTCTTATGCTTATGAAAACTCTAATTTTGCTCTTATGGATTCGAAATATGCGACCCAACATAGGACCAGTTCTGTCCAGTTTTTGGAATTAGAAATCCTATATGTTCAACTTCTAGTGTTTTGATTATATCTTTTTGTACATAATGTTTTTTGCGATTATTCTTGATTATTTGCAAGCCTAAGAGATATACATACATATTTCATGAAGGTTATTAAGTGTAGTTAAGTCATTTTCCTTTTCAAAACAAAGTTGCAAAATAAGATATTAGGATGGCGGAGTCATTGTTCTTGGAGCGTAGTCGTATTTGTAAAGGCTAAGAAAACTTGTGCTGATCATACTGTTTTATTTCGACATTATTGAGATACTAGGAATTAAACAAGTTATTTAATTGTATTTTGAAGGTTGTATATACTCCTGAACAAGTTGAGGACCTTCATACGTTGGTTGGTCTATAGTTTGAACTCTTGAAGTGGTGTTGAACTTTTTCTTGTCTAAAGAACTGAGCTTTGTGCTTAAACTTGTACTTGTACTATTTTTACCTGCTGGTATATCAGAAAGTTTATCGTGGTATGTTGGTTACCTCTTCACACTTTGCATTTTCGTATTGTTGTCGTTTAAGACGTTACAAAATCTTTTGTAACTCGCTAACTTGTACGGATTGTTTCATCACTTATCTCTCTCATTGGGAACTTGTCTTTCTTCTGGGTGTGACATTGTCACTATTCTCATGACTCTTAATTTGGATCATTTTCCATCATGACACTGGATTTTTAGTTCGTCTTAAGTATGGGAGTTGTCTATTTTAAGCACGAACAAGAAAACAACTTTTAATATGTTCCTTTGTTCTCTTGATTATTGGGCTTTGAATCTTCTTGATCTAGGGCGTCGACCCTTCTTCACACTTGCTCTTCCTTGGTGTTATGACATGATGTATATAATGGGTGAGTCTTGTTATTTAACCTCTTGGAAAATGGTGCTATGAGTGTTATTGCCATTTGAAGCTTTAAATATCAAACTTTATATTCTTTTTATATTGTTTACTTAATCTACTGATTCTATTTCAATTGTGCTGCCCTTGACATAAGAATGATAACTTAGTAAATCAGAGGGCTCTGGATCTTAGTTTTTACACCACTAAGTTATATGCTTAACGATATTTGTTTCTATCATAGGGAATGTTAGAGAAGATGCATGAAGCTGGCAATTGGAGATGGAGATTTTGAGAGCCTTAAGGAAGATCACATATGCATATAGGCATCTTTATTTTGTATAAACCTTGGGACTTGTACACAATCTATGTGTTGCATATTTACATTAAATTTTGAGGGCTGATTTGGTCATGTAACCATGGGTTGTAACATAAGAATGGCTATACATTTTTATCGTTTGGGGTGTGTAAACCATGTTTGGTAATATAATAATTTATTATATATTTTGAAAAGTTTGTGCAAAGCATGCATCGACTGATTTCACTACATAGAAGTTGGTGATATCCTTGTTATTTCGTTCTTATGTGTGAGGATAATAAATGCATGCAAATATCATAAATTATTTGCTTTACAGATTTTGGGAGGGTTTTTTTTCATGAGTTAATATTCTGTGCCATATCAATTTTGACCTTAAATGAATGTTTAAATGGGCAACATGCACATCCATATCTAAATTATTCAAACCTAATACCTCAACTAGATTAAAATCGGTATGCCTTCATTGATCTCTTTTAAATGTCAAAAATATTAAATTATGTTTCTTGTAAAGTTGTAGTATCTCTCGGTAAGGGTCACTGCAAGTGTTGGTAACAGATCCTAGGTTTGTGGTTCTAGGTATTTTGGTGTGAATTACTTGTATAGTTGTTTGCTTTCGAAAAGGTTCTATTAGAGTCCACGTTGACTTACATGGTTTTACATATTCTTATTGCATGTAGAGTGCACATGCATCATGTACGTGTCCCTAATGAAATGTGATCTTCCCTTTTGAAGGAATTAAGTTATGACCACTTCTTCTGACCGACTTATGGAAGCTGCTTGTTAAGGTTTAGGTGCCTCTGTTTCCTAACCTCATTCAATGAAAGGGGTTGGAGAACATATCTCGAATGAGTTTGTTCCCAACACTAGCGGATCTGAAGTGGGAACCATCAACATGTAAGAGCTGGTTCACATCCTCATATGTGTCTTGGTACTCGAGCCATGAATCATCCTTTTCAATAAATGGCCGAATTCTTCCACCACATGGTTTAATCGATGCATGATCCCAATGGGATTTACTTTCAGAAAATAATGAAAATGGGTGGAGTGGAGTTTGAAGACACTATTAATCCCATTGATGCTGAACAATAGCCATATCGCATGGAGAGGGTGTTTGAGCAGTTGGAGTGTTCAAATGTTGCAAAACTTAAGTATGCTATTTCACTATTACAATAGGATGCATAGATTGGTGGGTATGTGTCCCAAATACCAAGGTAAAACCTCCTATTTTTAATTGGGATGATTTTCTTAAGGAATTTCGTGTGAAGTATGTACCACATGCTTATTGTGATGCAAAGAAAAAGGAGTTTTTGAATCTAAGGAAGTGAGGCATGTCTATTGCTGAATATGAACAAAAGTTTCTAGACCTCTCTCGCTACTGGAGGTATTATTAAAAAGGAAAAAGACTAGTGTAGGAAATTTGAAGATGGTTTAAATGATTTCATTAGGAAGAATGTGGAAATCCGGCAACATGAGAACTTTTGTAAGTTAGTGTCTACTACTTTTACTTGGGAACGACTTGATAAAGAACAAGATAGTAGAAATGAAAACAAATTTTGAAATCCTTGACAAAATTTTGGAGGTCCATCAAAAAGGGAAATATTTGATAGTTCTAAGGCTAGTAGTGATAACATGCCAGCACAACAAAAGAAAAATAAATCAGATTTTTCTAGAGATAACACTCAAAATTATGGTCAAGGCAAGCCTCGCATTCCCACTTGTCAACAATATGGAAAGAATCATTATGGTACCCGTACGAGAGCCTCTGTTGCATGTTTTAATTGTGGGAGCTTTGATCATAAAGTGAACGACTGGCCTAATCATAATAATATTCCTTCCTTGAAAATTGAAGGTTCAGTTCATAAGCCTCCTGTTAATCCTCCTCAAACTAATAAAAGTGCAAGGCCTAGAAAAAAGCAAGCAGCAGGTGCAAGTGGAGATAATCAAGCTAGTGGACAAAGGGGTACTGCACGCGCTTATGCTATGAGGATGAGGGATGATCAAGATGGACAAGACGTGGTTGTCGGTAAATTTCACTTATTTGGCTTAAGTGTGTTTACATTGGTTGATCCTGGTTCTACACATTCCTATATTTGTTGATCACTTGTTCTTCCTAAAAATGTTAAATCTATAAGACTTAATTATGATATGCTGGTTCAAAGTCCTTTGGGTTATTAGGTTCTGTATAGTCGAATTTATTGTGATTGTCTCTTCGCGATTCAAAACGTAGTCTCCCCTGCTGATTTGATTCAAATATATTTCAAGGATTTTAATATTATTATAGGGATGGATTTTCTTTATAAATATCATGAATTCAAAGATTGGAGGTCAAAGCATGTTACTTTTAAAGATCCTACATGTTCACACATCATCGTACAAGGTTAAAGGCTAATGACTTCTAGTATTATTTTTGCGGCCTTGGCAAGAAAGTTGATGTGTCAAGGTTGTGGGGAATACCTTGCTTACATAGTTGATACACTGTTGGAGAGTCCTTCTATCAAGGACATACCTGTTATATGTGATTTTCCAAAAGTATTCCCTGAAAACCTTCCTGGATTGCCCCCGAGAAGAGAGGTTAAATTTATATCGAGCTTACTCCTGGATCTACCCCTATTTCAATTACTCCTTATAGAATGTCTCTAGCAGAAAAAAGAGAATTGAAATCTAAATTGCAAGAAATTCTTGAGAAATGTTTTATTCGACCTAGTGTTTTTGCCTGGGGAGCCCCTGTTTTATTTTCAAAGAATAGAGATGTCACTCTTAGGCTTTTTATTGACTATAGATAATTGGAGAGAATAACAATAAATTATAAATATCCACTACCAAGGATTGATGATTTGTTTGACCAAATGAAGGGTGCTAAACTATTCTCAAAAGATCAACTTAAGGTTTGGATATCACCAAATACGTGTTAAAGAGAATGATGTTCCTACAATTGCTTTTAGAACTCAGTATGGTCATTGTAAATTTTTTGTGATGTCATTCAGACTGATCAATGCTTCTGCGGTATTCATGATCTAATTAATTGAGTATTCAATCCTTATCTTGATCCATTTGTTGTTGTTTTTATAGATGTTATATCAATATTTTTGAGATGAAGACCATGATAAACACCTCCAGATTATTTTGCAGATTTTGCAGGAGAAAGAACTTTATGCTAAACTTTATAAGTGTGAATTTTTCCTTGATGAAGTTTAATTTCTTGGACATGTTTTATCAAGTGAAGGCGTGAAGGTGGATCCTAGTAAGATACAAGCAGTTGTTTATTGGAGACCTGCCAATAGTCCGATTGAGGTAAGAAGTTTGTTGGGCTTAGAAACATACTCTAGAATATTCGTGAAATGGTTCTCCATTATTTCCTCCCCTTTGTCTAGACTCTTGCATAAGGAACTAAAGTTTATTTGGGATGAAAAATGTCAAAAGAGCTTTGGAACTCTCAAATCCTTGTTGACTTAAACGCCTACACCTACTCTACCAATTGAAGGAAAATAATATGTAGTGTACAGTGATGCTTCTAACAATTGTCAAGGATGCATTTTGATGCAATAAAGGAAGGTAATATATTATGCCTCTCAGAAATTAAAACCGCATGAATTGAATTATGCAACTTTTGATGTTAACTGCTACTATGGTGTTTGCTTTAAAAATATGGCGACATTATTTATATGGAGAGATATATCATATATTCACTGATCACAAGAGCATAAAGTACTTGGATACTCAAAAGGAGCTAAATCTAAGAAAGTATAGATGGCTTGAACTCATCAAGGATTATGGATGCACGATTGATTATCATCCAGGTGTAGCTAATGTGGTTGACAATGCCTTAAGTCGAAAATCATTGGCAAGCATTTATTTGAGTACTTTGACATTGCTCCTTAAGTTAAGAACCATGAATGTTTATTTTACACTGGATTTGAATTGTTTATTTATTTCTAATTTTCAAGTAAAGTCAATATTACTTGAACAGGTAAAGGAAGCACAAAAGTTAGATGAGAAACTTCTAAATTGACCAGAGAACTCTAAAATGGGGAAACACTTGATTTTACATTAACAAAGGATGATGTCTTAATTTATCAAAACAGGTTATGCATCATAATGATAAAAAATTGAGGAGAGAAATATTAAAAGAAGCACATACTTCACCATATGCAATGAATCCTAGAGGTACAAAGATGTATCAGACCATCAAAGAAAATTATTCATGGAGTGGTATAAAGAGAGACATTTTGGAGTTCATTTCAAATTATTTTTTTTGTCAATAAGTAAAGACAGAACATCAAGTCTCAGTTTGTCTACTACAGCCCTTGTTGATGTCATAATGGAAATGGGAGAGAATAACTAGACTTTGTTTCTTGACGTCCTCGCACTCAAAGAAATTATGATGCAATATGGGTGATTGTAGATACTCTAACAAAGACTGATCACTTCTTATCAATCAGGATGGATTACTCCTTGAGTGTATACCCGAGTTTTACATTAATGAGATAGTAAGACTACTAGGGATCCCGATGTCTATTGTATCTGACTGAGACCCATGTTTTACATCTAGATTTTGGGGCATCTTGCAAGAATCTTTAAGTACAAAATTTAAATTTAGCACTTCGTTCCATTCTCAGGCAGATGGCCAGCCGGAAAGAGTTATACAAATTTTGGAGGATATGTTTCGAGCTTGAATTATCGAGTTTGACGGAAGTTGGGGAAAATGGCTTTGATCGAATTTTCTTACAGTAATATCTACCAATAAAGCATTGAATGCCTCTATGAAGCCTTATATTGAAGAAAATTTCAAACCCTTCTTCGTTGGAGTGAAATTGGTGAAAGAAAGCTGATTGATCCTGAAATGGTGCAGCTAACAAAGGACAAGGTAAAAATTATCAAGGATCATTTAAACATTTCTTTGGATAGACAAAAGTAGTATGCTAATCTAAAAATGTGTGATATTCAATATCATGTTGGAGTTAATGTATTCTTAAAGGTGTCGCCATGGAAAAAAATTATAAGATTTGGCCAAAAAGGAAAATTTTATGCCCAACTTATTGGACCTTATGAGATACATGAAAGGCTTGGACCAGTTGCATATAAATTGGCGTTACCACCTGAGTTAGAAAATATCCACAATGCCTTCCATGTTTCTATACTCAGAAGATATCGTTCTAATCCATCTCATGTTCTTCTAGTTGAACTATTGAGGTTAATCGATGACTTGATGCATAATGAAGAACCAAACCTAATTCATAATCGGGAAGTAAAGAAACTTTGGAACTAGAAAATACCCTTAGTAAAGGTACTTTGGATGTCCATTCTTGAAAAAAAGCTACCTCGGAGAGGGAACAAGACATGAGGACCCAATGTCCGCACTTGTTTTGTGACTATTCTTAGGTAAATTTTGAGAAGAAATTTCTTTAAGAGGGAGAGATTTGTAACACCCCTAAAATACAAGACCAAGATTCATATTTCGATACATCATAACTTAATTACTATAATATATTTTTCTCATTTTTGGGACTTGAAATTTTGTGATATTTACACCTCGCTTAACATAAGTATTAGCATATATTAAGTTATTGTTTGGGGGTATTTGTGTAATTTTATAATTATCATTACAAAAATATTGGAAGTCTGAGTATAAGATATATAAATATAAGTATATATGTATGGTTTTTGGGCATCCCCTTTTGGTGACATCTGTCCATGTGATGAGGATCATTTGTGTGGCTATATATTTCACACCTCTTCTTGCGATGTTCATCTCACTCAAAGAATAGGAACCTTAGGAAATTGACTAACAAGTTGTTCTTCAAACTTGAAGTATAGGAACCTTAGAGACACACACTTCATTTTGGTAGGTGATGAAAAAATTGTATCTTAGATTGCTAGTGTGTTGTATTTTTGAGCATATCATGACTTATAGAACTTCCTTTGCAGTGAATAAATATTATTCCAAAAGATAATTTGTAATTCTACAACTCGTATGTTTATGGAAAACTCTAATTTTTCTGTTATGGATTCAAAATATACAATGCGATATAGGACCAATTCTGTCGGACTTCTGGAATTAAAAATCATGTATGTTCCACTGTTAGTTTTGATTGGATCTTTTTGTGCGAAAAGTATTTTACTGTTATTCTTTATTATTTTCAAGCTTAAGATATGCAACTAAATCTTCATGAAGGTTATAAAGTCCATTTATGTTGTTTTCCTTTTCGAATCAAAGTGCGAAATGAGATATTAGGCAGGCTAGAATCACTGCTCTGGAACAATAGTTGTATTTGTAAAGGATAAGAAAATTTGTTATGATTATTTTCTTTTACTTCGAAAATATTAAGACACTACGAATTACTATGTTATTTAATAGTATTTTTTAGGTTGTATATACTCGTGAATAAGTTGAGGGCCTTCATACATTAGTTGGTCTACGGTTTGAATTTTTCAAGTTGTGTTGAACTGTTTCTTTTCTAAAGAACTGATGTTTGTGCATAAACTTGGACTTGTAATATTTTAACCTGCTCGTATATCTGGAAATTTATCCTGGTACCTTTGTTACCTCTTGTAACTTTGCATTGTCATGTTATTTTCGTTTAAGACATTAAAGACTCTTGTGTAACTCGCCCACTTGTATGGATTGTTTGATGACTTTAGACTCTTGTTGGGACCTTGTCCTTCTTGTTGTTGTGACTTTGTAACTATGGGCATGCCTCTTGATTTGGATCATTTTCCATCTTGACTCTTATTTTTTAGTTCGTATTAAGTATGGGAGTTGTCCATTTTAGGTACGATCTGGAAAGCCACTTTTAATATGTTTCTTGATTCTCTTGATTATTGGGTTTTGAACTTTCTTGATACAGGGCATCGAACCTTCTTGACACCTGCTCGTTCTTGGTGTGATGACATGATTTGTGACTCGATCGGTACTAAGAACATAATCTTGCATGTGAAAAGCATTGGGCATACCCCTCCATTATTGAAATTAAAGCATGTTGTAAATGCTTATGTACAAATCTTACATCTCTTTTTGAGAGTTTTGATTCTCTAGAGATATAAATGTTTGATTATTTAAAAGGAAATAAGATTTTGAGTTTGTCTTAATTAATTTGCAT